ACAACTCTTCAGCTAGGGTAATGTTAAATAAAAATATTAATGCAAAATTTTAAACATTATTTGATTGTTCAAATTGAACACTTTAATAAAAAATTTTAAGTATCTCCCTCTATATATTATTGTAGAATGTCTCGATCCTACGTAAAGGCTTCTGATTTTTCGTAATATTAGAGCATCTCCAACCGTATGAGAATTGTGAAATTGTAGAAGCAATCTGATAAAAGAACTTCTTCAACAGCGTTTTTTCCACTTCTATTTGTGATGTTGTGGCATGAAAAGGAAACAATAATCCTAGAAGTCCTTCTACATGTAGAAGTCCTTCTAGACTTATGAATCATTTTCTTCCCCTTATTTATAATACAAAATAAATGGATAACATGAAGATAGAATAAACCATTGGAGGCTTTTTATGAGCTTGAACTTTTATTTGTTCCATGTAGATGGAAGATCATCTATTTGATTGTCAAATACACTACAATTCATGTTCACGGTTGGAGATGCTCTTATGTATCGAATTTTGGTGTTTTATAATCCTATGTGTCAATTTGTGATATTTCGAAATAGTCTTCCACACCTAATAGGATTTTTAAAATTATAAAACACCAGAAATCTTATACAAATATTAATATATTTAAGTATCCATATAATACCAAAGCCTTGGTGAAAATATCAGCAAGTTGAACCTTGGTAGAGACATAGGCTGGAGCAATAATACCCTTCACCAACTCATCTCGAACGAAATGACAATCAACTTCAATATGCTTCGTCCGCTCATGAAAGACCGGATTGGAGGCAATGTGCAAAGCAGCCTTACTATCACAATGAAGAGGAATGGGAAGAGAATGATCAACACCAAGAGAAGTCAACAAAGACTTCAACCACTTCAATTCACATGTAGTCGATGCCATAGAACGATACTCAGCCTCAGCAGAAGAGCGAGAAACAGTATGCTGCTTCTTGGTCTTCCAAGAAATAGGAGAAGGCCCTAACTGAATAATCCAGCCAGTAAGAGACCGACGAGTAAGAGGACAACCCGCCCAATCAGAATCACACCAAGCCGAAAGACGCAAATCAGAAGTAGCATGAAATAGGATGCCTTGCCCAGGATTACTCTTCAAGTAACGGACAACTCGGAGAGCAGCCTCCCAATGTGCCTGCAAAGGGTTGTGCATAAATTGGGACAACATATGCACAGAATAAGACAAATCAGGGCGAGTGACAGCCAAATAAATAAGACGCCCTATAAGACGTCGATACTGCTCGGGATCAGGAAGCGGAGGCCCAGAAGCAAGCGGAAGCTGATGATTCTGATCCAAAGGAAAAGAAGCGGGTTTCGCCCCTAATAAGCCAACTTCAGAAAGAATGTCCAAAGCATATTTACGCTGACACAAAAAAATGCCGGTAGAATTACGAGCCACCTCCAACCCAAGAAAGTACTTAAGAACCCCCAAATCCTTCATGTGAAAACAACAGGACAAATAATCCTTAAAGGCAGCAATAGCAGCAGAATCATTCCCAGATATAACCAAATCATCCACATAAACGAGAACATGTAAACAGAGGGAAGCACGACGCAAAGAGAAAAGAGAATAGTCAGCATGGGACTGGGTAAAACCATACTGCTGCAAAGCAGTAGTCAATTTGGCAAACCAACAACGAGGAGCCTGTTTAAGGCCATACAAAGACCTTTTTAAACGACAAACCAAATCCTGAGTACCAGTGCGAAACCCAGGGGGCAACTTCATGTAAACCTCCTCTTGGAGATCTCCATGAAGAAAAGCATTATGAACATCCATCTGATGAAGCTCCCAGCTGCGAGCAGCAGCAACGGCCAGAAAAGTACGAACAGTAACCATTTTTGCGACTGGAGCAAAAGTCTCAGTGTAGTCAATGCCCTCCACCTGATGATTACCTAAAATCACAAGGCGAGCCTTATATCTTTCAATGGAGCCATCAGAGCGATGTTTAACACGGTACACCCACTTACAACCGATGGCCTTCTTGCCTGAAGGAAGGGAAACCAAAGCCCATGTGTCATTGTTTTCAAGAGCCTGAATCTCAAGTTGCATCGCAGTTTGCCAATTTGGATCAGTCATGGCCTCAGAAAAGGAGCGAGGCTCAACAGAGGACTGAACCGCTGCTAAGAAAGCTTGATGGGCAGGGGAGAATGAAGAACAATTTACATAATGAGCTAAAGGATAAGGAGTACCTGAGGATGATGGAGTGGCGGGTGAGCAAGTAATGGGGGGTGAGATGATAGTGTGGGTGACATGATCGCGGAGCCGAACAGACGGATATTTGGTACGGTGACCTCTGCCAAGAACCTCAGGAGTAGGAGAAGAACCCCCCCTGGCTTCAGAAACCTCCGACGGGGAGGGAGGAACGGAAGTCGAGGGAGCGGGCAAGGACATAGGAGCATCAACATCATCAGTAACAGGCCAAGGAGAAGTAGCCATAGTAGGCAAAGAAGGAGATACAGGAGCAACCACCACAGAAGAAAAAGGAAACTCGTCTTCACAGAACTTGACATCACGAGAAACAAAAAAATCCTTAGTCTCAAGATCATATACTGACCAACCCTTCTTGCCAAACGGATAACCAACAAAGACACAACGACGACTGCAACTAGAGAACTTATCACCTTTGCGATCCATATTATAAGCATAGCATAAGCAGCCAAACACACGCAAATGATCAAGAGACGGGGAAGTACCAAACAGAACCTCATAAGGACTCTTTCCATGGAGCACTTCAGTGGGTGTACGATTAATTAAATAACCAGCAGTCAAAACACAATGTCCCCAGAACTCGATGGGCAAATTGGCCTGAAAACGCAAAGCACGTGCCACATTGAGAATATGGCGATGTTTGCGTTCAACACGACCATTTTGCTGAGGAGTACCCACACATGAAGTTTCATGAAGGATACCGTGCTCACGAAAATAAGAACTCATACACAAGAATTCAGTCCCATTATCACTACGCACAACTTTCACCAACTTATTAAACTGACGTTGAACCATGGCAAAGAAAGCAAGTAATGTAGCAGAGACAGAGGCTTTATCATCAAGTAAATATAGCCACACGGCTCGAGAATAATCATCTACGATAGTCAAGAAATAACGAGCTCCAGAAAAAGAAGGGACACGATAAGGACCCCATAAATCACAATGGACCAAACCAAAAAGTTCCAAAGCACAGCTGTCACTAACAGGAAAACTATCTCTAGAATGTTTTGCACGAAGACAAACATCACAAGATTTATTTTCATAGCTACGAAAAGAACTAGGGGCAAGATCACACATCTTTCCAAGAACCTTCAAAGACGGATGACCCAGTCGTTGATGCCATAGGTCCACTGAGCCGCCAACACAAACTGTTGCCATAACCGCCGCAGACGGATCCCGAAAGAAGTACAATCCCCCCATTTGCTCACCCAGTCCAATCACCATCCTCGTAGCTCGGTCCTGTACAACACAATTCAAATTCGTAAAATGGGCAACACACCCCAAATCATCCAATAAGTGATACAAAGAAATAAGGCTGCATTTTAAGCTGGGCACAAGAAGAACATTAAATAGGATCACAGTAGGAGTAAGATGAACTGTGCCGGCTTTGGTAGCAAATGTGAATTGTCCATTAGGAAGCTGCACTGGTCTAGACTCAATATCACGAACATCAACAAGAAATTCAGAAAAGCCCGTCATATGATGTGTCGCGCCACAATCGTACATCCACATATTAGAATGAGACTTACCCGTCAAGGTACTAGAACCAGCAGAAGACTGAGTTTGAACTAAGTTTAGCAAGGCGGACCACTGGTCAGGAGAAAGGCCAGTGGTCGTAAGTGAGGAAGTCGAACTAGGTGGAGGAACACTGGCGGCCGGAAAACCTACGGGTAGCACACCAGTCGCGTTGGCCTGCACCGGTGATACACCACGACCGCGGCCGCGGCCTGCAACGGGAGGGAGACGATGACCGGCACCAGCAGCGATCGAACCACGTCCTGCAGAAAAGGAAGAGGCGCCGAGAGAAGACTGTTGCGATGAAGCAGGATAGCCGATCAATTCGTAGCACTGTTTAGGATTGTGACCGGTCCGGCTGCAATGAGGGCAAGGAACCACCTTGAAGCATCGGCTGGAGTCGTGTCCAGTCCGCCCACAAACACTGCACGGGGCGCCGGAGGGAATTGCAGGACGTGCAGGAGCCGGCAGTTTCGATCGAGCAACTGCCGCAAAGGAGTGAACATCAACAGCAGGAGAAGAAGAAGTCTTACCAATGGTGGCCAAACGTTCCTCTTGGACCATAACAGAATAAGCCCGGTGGAGATTCGGCAAGGGTTCTTGTGCAAGAATTTGAGATCTAGCAGGCCCAAAAATCTCAGCATCTAGGTTAAGGAGAAATTGATGACATTGTTCATTATCCTTACGAATTTCATGCTCCGCCTCAAGAGGACAAATACACTTACCACAACGACAAGCCACCGGACGATCATATGCGTACAATTCATCCCACAGTGTACGAAGTTTCCCATAATACGCACTAATAGTCATGCCTTTTTGATATGTGGTCGCTATTTCTCCTTTCAACTGTTGAATTCGAGTACCATTAACCACAGAAAATCGATCACGGATGTGCTGCCATAAGTGTTGAGCAATTTCGATATTGGGGATAGAAGAACGAACAGAAGCATCTATTGTATTCATGATCCAAGAAACTAACATAAAATTATTGACATACCAATCCGTCAATAACGGAGAACCCTCCTCTGGTTTAGGAATAGATCCATCCAAGAAACCAAATTTGTTGCGAGCCCACAACGCCCTCCGGAGAGCCGCAGACCATTCGATATAATTAGTATTGGTAAGAAGAACTTGAGAAATAACACATCCAGGATTATCACTTGAAGTAATATCATAAGGAGAAATTGATTTGTAAGGAAGAGCCGCCGAAGAGGAGCCCTCGACGGTGGCAGAGGCGTCACCCATGGATGGGTGATTGAAGAAGAAGAAGAAAAAAAATGTAGGGTGGCCACGGCTCAGAGGGGTGTCTCTGATACCATGTCAGATAGAGGCGTAAAGAGAGACATAATAGGAGTAGAAGTGTTTCTGTATATCAATGTGTATCAATCACTTACAGAATAAGAGTATATATAGACTAAACTACTTGGGCAACAAGCTAGGGTTAAACTACTTGGGTAAGAAGTTACCCTATAATAATAAAGGTAAATATAATAATATTTCCTATTCTAACACTTTTAATATATACTGTACAATTATAATTTTTTCAATTTACAAACTTGTATTATATGGGTGCATTTGCACTGCAATTTGTGATTTCATATGGTAGCTAGTTAGGAGCGTAGGATTTGAAATAATTTTGGCCTTTTATTTTATTTGAGAACGTATTCATTGTACCATATGCGAGAGACCCAAATTGTAACAAAAATATACGCCCATTCAATTAAAAATCCATATATTAGTCAAATATGTTTGCATAAAATATATTAATATTGTAGGAACTCATTTGGCTGAGATCCTCTACATGGCGATCCGATCAATTTCCATTGCCGACGAATACTTCTCTTTCCTCTCGTCCTCACTCATCTTTTGCTGTCTGCATTCCAGACTGCAAAAGGCACTATCACCTCTGAAAAGAAAATTAAAATTAAAAAAATAATATTTTACAGCGGCCCTTGTCTGCGCAACGGCAAAATTCAATCCATAGAATCGNTCCTATGAAAACCTCATAAATTATAGTACTATATATATATATATATATATATATATGAACAATTATTTAGTTCATACATTTGCTAAACACATTATTAACAATTAAGAATCTTTGATATGGTGTACATAATAAACTGGAAATGAGTGGCTCAAAATAGAAGACAAGATGTCACACACCCAACTTGTAGGTATAAATACATAATTGTGAGTGTTATGTATCTATTGCAATTTTAAGCATGCCAGAAAATTAAGGCACAAGTAATGACAAAGAAAATAAACAAATATATATGATATCAACAATAATATCGTGCAATATATCAACTGAGATATATACCATCCATTGAATTCCTCCAAGCTAAAAAACAAACTCCATAGATTCACATGCAGAAATAAAAATTCATTTTCAGCAGCAAAATAGATACTGTGTGTGTGTGTGTGTGTTATGGGGTTTTGTTATGGTAATAATTATATTGTTATAAGGTGTTAAGGTATTTTAATTAATTAGCAGAGTTAGTTAGTTCCTATTTGATCCATCAAGTATGCAACTATACATGCCTAATTATATTAGCTAGTCCACATCTTCTCTAGCCCAATATAAACATAATTTAACTCTTTTTCCAATATATTTGCTTAGGAATTCTTTTAGCCCGCGACATTGCCAACCTTGTTATATATGCTGTTTTTCTCGTCAAAATTCAGACTGTGTAGAGATAATTATCCACAGAAACATATGTATATTTGAAATGTGCGAGTCATAAAAGATATTTTGTTTTGATTTAAGGATTTGTGGCCTAAAATAATATCATACATATAGTACCTATAAATGTATATGTCACGACCCTGGACAAGGCGGCGGTTGCAGAGGAAACAAACCCTCAAGAAATTAGCAGTTTGGACAAACTCCCCGGAGCTGCGGTGGTGGGGCCTAGCGGCCGCCGGAAATATTTGATCTCCGGCGTTGAAATGATCGGACGGCGGATTGTTGAGATCCAAGGTGAACTCAGTCATGCTCGTGGTTCTCTTTATCGGTGGACGCGTCCTCTTTNAAGGTTTGATTGGATCAAATCATACACACAAATAAATGTGGCCTCGTCACGTCAACACTCGATTCTCTTCATTTCACTCTTCTCAACTAGATAGATAGGAGGAATATTTCTTTGGACTAAATATGAAATTCCCCCCAATTGTATTTCTTTAACTTGCAAATTGCAAAATTAGGAAATATCACTTTGCATCTTGAAATACACAAATGGCCTCCAAATTATTGTGAATGACGGGATAGTAGAGTGGGGACCATGCCAGCCCATTTTCCTTCTTACTTTTTTTTTTTTTATTTTTTGGCTTAAGAAAATAATATTCTGATATAAGAATATAATAATATTCTGGTTTGAGTGTTGAGGACGGCCACCCCAACATGATACCACCCACCACCCACTACGGGTGTGCAAAATTCGACTGAAATCGACCGGATCGACCGAAACCGACCGAACCGACAATTTCGGTTCGGTTTTTGTTCGACTCGGTCGGTAGTCAGTTTTCAGTTTGTAAAATTTCGGTTATTTCGGTCGGTATCGGTTTTCGGACATAAAATGTCCGAAATAACCGAATCGACCGAATAACAGATATATATATTTATAATATTATATTATATATTATAATATAGTATTTTTTAATACAAATACAAATATACATTAAGATTTAAGAGTAGACAGTAAGTCAATAACCCTAGCCCTACACTCAGTCATTCGCATTTCAGAAAATCCCTTCCCCAAATCCTCCGTCGCCATCCTTAAATCCTCCGCCGCTACACCCCTAGCCGCTGCTCCTCCGCATTCTACCCAATATCGACCCAATCCAAACCATCCCACCGTCCCCTGAATCGTCCGCTACTCCGCTCAGCAAAAAATCATTCCCTCGTCTTTGCGTCTGCGTGTAGTTCGGTCTTCGGTCCACTCAAGGAGCTCGTGGTCACCGGTCGTCGACTCGCCAAGCACACGATTACACAGGCACTTGTTCACCGTCAAGACTCAAGGGCGAAAGTCTCCCCGATTTTTTCTCTCCCTCCCAAAATCTCAGTTTTATTTTCAAGGTATGATATTTTTTTAACTTAATTTCTTGTTTCTTGTTATGCCTGTAAGTATTTTTTTTGTTTACCTGAGTCCTCATTTTGTTCCTTTTCTTTAAGTCCTTTTCAAGGTAAAGGCTCAACCTTTTTACTCTCTTAATATGGTTGAACTAATGTTTAAGAACAAACTTTTAAGTGATAAAATGGGCATGCTTAACTTAGTGAAAAATGAGAAAGAAATGAGTTGAGTTTCATGAGTTTTTATGCTTTGTGTATGACTCTTTGCTGAATTGATGTGATGTCTTTAGCATGCTGTAGATGAGTTATTTTAGAGCTTTAGCCACAGTTTATTTGCCCTTATGATTTCGAGCATGAGAAAAAGAGATGATATAAGGCATGATATGTTGTAAATTTTTATCCCATCTTGTGTGGTTTATTTCTGAAGTTGCGGTACATGTTAGCATGCTGAAATGAATCATTTGCGGAGCCTTGATATCGGTTTATATTGGATGAGGTGATTTATGAGAAAAGGTGACAGAACAGTTGTATGTGTATATATGTCATGTTTTGTAACCTTGTTGCTATATCTTTTGTGTTGAGCCTTATATAATATTTTTCATGTTGAAATGATTGACCTTAGATGCCTTTGAACCTCAGTATATTCAGCCCTACCATGTGGTTTATGGTTGAGAAAAATAAAATGAAAAAAAATGTACATGTTATGGTGACTATTGTTGCTGAGGCATAAAAGAGACAAAATATATGTTATGTTTGTATTCATGAGTCTAAGCATGCAATAGTGCTTAATGTAGTAAATTGCTGCCATCTTTAATCAATGGAGAGATCTTTTTTCATGACTTTTGTTATATTTTGGAGTTGGTTGTGCTAGTTATATTATTTTTCTAGGATTAAGAATACCATTATTAATTATAATATGCCCATGTTGTGGAAACTGTACAGAGCATGCTTAAGCATACCATTTTTTGTGCCCATGTAGCCTGTAAGTATTTTTTTTTTTTTTTTTGTGCTCCATGTACATTGTGCTGACTTGATTTTGCATGTTCTCTGAAATTCAGAAAACTTGGACTGTAGATATCATGTCAAGCCAAGAAGAAATGGACGGAAGCACGGCACCGGTGGATAAGGCCTCAAAGGAGACACCGACTTAACCTTCAACGGGAGATTCATCAGAAGTTAAAAGAGGTGTCGCGCGACGTAAAGTACAGTCAAGATCTAAGGCATGGACTCATTTTACCAAGATTCTTGACGCAAAGGGAGATGTGATAGAAGCTCAGTAAGCACTGCAAAAAGCAATATGCTTGCCATACAAAACAAAATGGTACCTCCTTCTTCTTCCTCATATGAGTAGTTGCATGAAAAACTCTGAAAATGTTGATGCGAGCCAATCTTTAATAAACGTGCAACCAGGAAAAGAGGGTGTTGTTGGGTCGAGTTCGATATCTGCTTGAAAATATGATTATGGTGAGATTCGAGAATCTATTGCATATATGATATGTTCTGATGAGTTGCCCTTTAAATTTGTGGAAAGCCGAGGATTTAAAATGTTTATGAGCAAAGCATGTCCTAGGTTTAAAATTCCTTCTCGGACCACTGTTACAAGAGATTGTTTTGATATGTTTGTTAAAGAAAGGTCAAAGTTGAAATCTTTCTTGAAAACTAACTGTCAAAGGGTTAGTCTTACCACTGATACTTGGACGTCTCTGCAAAAAATTAATTATATGTGCATTACCGGCCACTTCATTGATAATGATTGGAATTTGCACAAAAAAATCTTGAATTTTGTTCTCGTTACGAGCCATAAGGGTGATTATATTGGCAAGTCACTTGAAACTTGTATTCTTGATTGGGGACTAAAAAATGTCTTTACGATAACGATGGATAATGCAAGCTCATATGGTACGGCATTGGCATTTTTGAAGAATAGAATGATGGATTGGGGGATACCATTGCGGATTGTAAATACATTCACATGAGGTGCATTGCCCATTTATTAATTTGATTGTTAGCGAGGGCCTCAAAGATGTAAAACCATCAGTGAAGCGGGTGAGGGCGGCTAGATACATAAAAAATTCTCCCGCTAGACTTCGAAAATTTAAAGAGTGTGTGGAATGGGAGGGTATAAAGTCCAAAAAGGCATTATGTCTTGATGTCAAAATGAGGTGGAATTCGGCTTATATGATGCTAAGTACGACAGAAAAATTTGAGAAAGCATTTGCTAAGTATAAAAGAGACGAAACTTCTTTTGCGAAGGATTTGGGAGATGATTTAGTTCCTAGTGCTTATGATTGGTCTTGTGCTCGCGAAATTTCCGAATTGTTGAGTTACTTTTATGATGCTACCTTACGGATTTCGGGCTCTTTGTATATCACTTCGAATACTTTTTTTAGTGAGATTAGCGATTTTTGTTGCATTTTGGATGATTGGAGAAAGACGATGACCTTTTGAAAAGGGACTTTGGTGACTTAATGAAAGCGAAATTTCTTAAATATTGGGGAGAGCCGGGATGCATGAATAAAATTATCTTTTGGGCAAGCATTTTTGATCCGCAAGAAAAAATTGAGTTAATGGAGTACATTTTGAATGAGATGTATGGGGTTGAAAAGGGGGAGAAAATTCTTGAGGAAGTGAAGCATGATCTCTTTGAATTATTCAAAGAGTATAAGAAGAAGTATGATCCGGAAAGTGATGCAAGTGCTAGCATTGGAGTTCAAACAACTTCAACTTCAAGTTCTGAACATGGAAGTATTAGTACCAAGCCCAAATCAATTTTAAAAGCTAAGTTAAAGAAGCAAAAGTTAGCGACCAGGGGTTATTCAAACAAAAAATCCGAACTTGAAGTTTACTTGCTTGAGGATGTGCTAGAGGGAGAAGAAGATCTTGATGTTCTAAAGTGGTGGAAATCAAATTCCGAATGTTTTCGGGTTCTTTCAAGAATGGTTCGTGATATGTTGGGTGTTCCAATATCAACCGTTGCATCGAAGTCGGCCTTTAGCACCGGCGGGTGCTCGACAAATTTAGGAGTTCTTTTTTTTTTTTTTTTCCAACNTTTTTTCCAACGATAATTTCCAATAAACCTCAATCAAATAAAAGTCTTATAGGCATAGCCAACCAGCTACAATGCAACTCACCCAACCATCAAGGCCAAATAGTGCATACGAGTGAACATAAAGTTCCACCCTCGAGTGGAACAAACCACAACAAACACAGCTAAAACAACACTACAAAGTTCTAGTCTCAAACTCACACAATGAAATAGCATCTAAAAGAGATGAAACATGAACAATCTCAGCTTGATCATTGTCACCCCATGCAGCTGAACCTATGGCTTCGAGCTTGTCCCGAGTACCTGCGAGATTCACAACATAAACCACATCCTCCCAAGCTTCTTCAACACAGGCACTGAGCATCCACTTAACTTGCCACCAGTCTTCTTCCTCCTCTGTCAATTGCCCAGGCATGGTGACTGACCAAGTTTTCAATATTTTACCATTCTTCTCTGCTATACCTTGTACCCTCACTCCTTCTACATTTGGACCTAGAGCACTGACAGAAACCCTAATCTGCCCTAATTTAGGAGTTCCTTAACTCCTAAAATTGTTGAAGCATTGATATGTACACAAGATTGGCTCCGAAATGAATGTGTCCCTTTATGTGTTGAAGAGTCATTAGATGAACTTGAAATGCTTGAAAAAGGTATGGTTGATGTGCAATTACTTTGTTTTTTTTTTTTTTAATAGCAATCCTATTTTTAATTTGATTAATTTTCAGATTTGCCGCAAGTGGGGATTGGACAAACATTGTGAAATACGACTTGTGAAATTTGAGGTAATCACTATTAAATTTCATTTTTTTCAATTGTTCTAAAATTGGTTTGTATAAGATGTTTTCACTTGTTTTTTTTTGTGCTTTTTTTGGGCTATATCTTGCTGTTTTTAGGTTCTTCTGGGGGTTGTTTTGAAGGTGTATTGGGGCTGTTTTTGAGACACAACTTTGGCT